GAGAGAGAGAGAGAGAGAGAGAGAGAGAGTGTGAAATGTTTAATTTTTATTAAATTAATGCTTTTGGTCTGTTATACTCCCAAGTGTAGAAAGTGTTCATAAGTACGTTTGGGCGGGCGGATGTTCATAAGGTTGTGGGGAGAGTTTACCTAGGCGCACACATTCAGTTAAAACTGACAGTTGTCTGTCCTCTTTGACATTAGGAAATACTATATGATGCAATCCTGGTTAAAATGCTTCCTTTGTGATCTTCAAAATCCGGCAAGGTAAATCCCTCGGGAGTCGTTTATTTGGTTTATTTTAATATGCTCGCTCTGAATTAGATATTGCCACAGGACATATTTTTCAACAAGTTCATTAACCTCTTAATGCTGTGTAGACGTATGGATATTCTTATGTTCTCCGAAATGGTTCACTACAGGGGCGGCTCGTGGGTCTAAAAAGTGGGTGTGCACAATTAACTTAAAGCAGCTTGAAGATAGTCAAGGGCATGGTAAATGAGATGTTGAGTCGAGTTTGTAGTTCTTCAGAGTTGAATAAAGGCCCTGAATATACGACACTGAGCCGACTTAAATGTTTCCTAGCTATACATTTCTGATTCTGTTTGTAACTTGATTTTATGCCAAACAGAGTAGCTTTCTGCCAGGCATATGCGACCCAAAAGAACTGTAAGATACGACTTCTGATAGTCATGGGAATTGGAGGGGTCGACGATTTAAAGTGCATTGATTTTATTTTGCTTCAAGAAACGGTCAACAATCTGATTAACTATTATGTCAAAGGCCTCCTTTGCAGCAATTTCGTTGGTGTTGTGATCCTACTTCTCTTGGAATTGTGTTCCTCTGTGGTCTGGCTTGTTGATGGAACACTTTAATACTGTTTCTAATTTCTTCGACGGCTGCTTTAAACGTGTTTTGAGCTTGTTGAGCTGCTATGGGCGTTATACTTCTGTCTGTGTTGGAGGATCCCATGCACAATGTCAACGTGCGTGAACACTTTGCTAGTTTTTTTAGTATAGGATTTTACCGCGCTCGCAACTGCATAAGGTCATATGAGCGCACTTTGCTAAAAAAAAGTGCGAAAGGACGAGAAATGTATCGCTCGTAAATACATTCAAAGGACTACACGCCTCGTGGGTGGTATTATTATCCCAGTGCTCAGACTGAATTTCCTCAAGACAGAGCTGAATCTCTCCTTTCCAAGTGAAGACTGTGCTAAGAAGTTGAGACTGAAAATTCCACCCTGTTTCAGAGGGCCGTGGACTATTCTGGCGACGTCGGTGCGTTTTTTAGAGTGGGCAAAAAATATAGAAAATCCTGCAGTGTTAGCGAAAAATATCCTGCAGTTTGATATGCTAGATCAAGCGTGTTTTAAAACAAGATTCAGCTGATGTGCACAGCAATGAACAAAAACAGCGTCTGGGAAAAATTGGCGCATCTGAGTCTGTACACCAGAGACTCTCCCGATCATTACATCTGTCCCATCGTAGGTTTGGGCGATCAGCTTCTCCTCGACGCTGAATGGTTTTAACGATTCTTTTAGGGTTGGAGTTTACTACCATTATTTTTCAACTATTGGCCAATAGAAGAAAGTTTTGGAGACGTCACTAGCACTTCTGCAGAGTCGCTTTTTTCTTATAATAAGGGGAAATGTCTTACTGTGGCTTTGTATAGATCTCTCTTGAATAATAATTATGTATTCATCTTGTATGTTATAAGCACAGATAGACGTCGCAGCAGTGTAGGGGTTAACGAAATTCTTGTCGTCGGCAGGCTGCAGGTGGGTCAGACTGCCCGGCTTGTCTCTGAATGTCTGCTGTCCGCGGGGGATAACATTCTTGTTTATATAAGTATAAGCTTATTGACAAACTCTTGCTGTTATTTTTGTTGAGGTTGTTGTTGTTGTTGTTGTCTTTGTTGTTGTTGGTGGTGAGGGTGTTGTTGTTGTTGTTTTTTTATTATTGTTGTTGTTATATTTGTTGTTGTTGTTGTTATTGTTGTTGTTGCTGTAGTTGCTGTTATTGTTGTTGTTGTTTCTTTTATTTTTGTTGTTGTTGCTGTTGTTGTTGTATTGTTGTTGTTGTTGTTGCTATTGTTGTTGATTATATTAGACCAGGCATTAGACCATACATCAACACACCAGACACGCCTGAATTTGGCTGTTCCACTGCAAAAATAGTACATATACATTCCCCCACCTCTAATTCCGAAATATTCAGTGGTCACGTCCTTTTTTTAAACAACTTTAATCAAACACGGTTGAAAAACAAATGGCAAGCTCATTTTTTCTCTTCCTCCCTTATTAGAACTACATGAATATGAACTTTGTTAACAGCCTGTGATATTTACCTCTCTATACTTTCCGCATATTCCGTAGACGGTTTTGCTAGACCACCGAAGCACTCAGGTTTTAACAGTTGACAGAAACATCATATTGTTATTTCGATTTGCCACTGAGAACAAAAAAGCGTTAGTTTTGATGTAAAACACGGATTATCATTTTTTTTTGGTTTGTTTTGTTTTGATGGTTTTTTGTTTGTTTGTTTGTTGTTGTTTTTTTGTTTATTTTTTGTTTGTTTGTTTGGGGGGGGGGGGTTGTGTTTGGTTTTTAGAATGTGCAAGATAGCTAAGATAATTCTAAGGCTGTGTCTGATAACTATTTCGCTCAAGACAATAGTAACGATTCACAGAATAATTGTTTTCTGCTCTCTAACCATGATCTGTCGTTTGATTTCGTTTTCACTTTCTGCACCCACCCACCCCCCTTTTGTCCCCTCCTCTGGGCTCCAGACTCTTTCTGCAGCCTTTCTACAACCTGTCTACTGCTACTCTTTGGCTCCTTCTTACTTCTTACTGCTGTCTTTTAGACACACACCTGATCTTAGGGTAGGTAAGGTCTAACACCAAGACCGCTCGGATAAAGGCGACGAATCTAGGAGGTACTGTGCGAAAGTTGCCCACGATAAAGATCCCTTGATGGTCCAGTGTCGTTAAGAATACGCTTCGGCCACCACTCGGGCAAAATTAAAATTTAATTTCTACCAAACGTAAAATCTTTAATGTGTCCCGCGCGCTCATACGACCTTATGCAGTTGCGAGCGCTGCAAAGCACCTACCAAAACAAAACAAACTGTACTCGTTTTATGATCTAC